GGTATTTAACTGTGACCATAATAGCTGTATTATGTGACCAAATTCACATAATATAATTTTGTGAAATTTTAAATAATTCTTTTCTTATTTAACAATCTAAGGGAAGACAGGTCAGTGCCCCTTACTAAATCCTAAGTATTGTATATTTTAATAGTCAGGTATTATATGTTTTAAAAATTCTTGCAGCTGCTCTGAGAAAGTTAAGGAAAACCTTCTCCTTCCTTAGAGTTTAAAAAAAGCCAGAGATATTATGCATCAAAATCAAGTTTAAAGAGCAAAGGCTCCAAGGCTCTAGTAAAGAGGCTCTAGAAAAGGCTCTAGTAAAATAGAAACATTAATTAACATTTTCCATTGTTCCAGAAATATCCAAAGCTGACAAAATTATGTATTAGATCTTAGAAAAATTTTTAAAGAAAATTATACCAAGAAAAACTGAGAGAAAAAAAAAGAAACCTATATTATTCATACCACAAAAACTGAAGTAAACTACAGTAAACTAAAGTGACTGAAAAAATAACAAATGTAAATAATACATTTTAGTTCTCAGGTTGATATATAGTAAAATTCAGATATCCAGAAACACAAAGTTTAGCCTTTCTGTTAATGCAGGAATGGAATTCAGAGACTCTTCGTTTTCCTACTTGCTATGATCACAGCACTACTCAAATGTGAAATTAGAACTCCAAAGTTTCCCAGCTTCCCACTGCAGGGAAATGAAGGTACATTCCCTGTGTTTTGATTAAATACTGCCATTCACAGCAATTCACATTACTTAGGGAATTTATAATCTCATGAACTTTAAATCCTGTAACATGTTAAGTCAAGTCTTCATATAATCTCCAATTCATTATAATTCTCCACAATCTGAATTCTGACATTTAAATAAGAGAACAACTGTTTTAGTGCTATATTTTAAGTATGCACCATCTATATTACTTAGAGATACAGCATCTATGTATAAAACAATTAAGGTGGGTTTACATACAAAGAACAGTTTACAACAGAAGTCACTGATCTTATGGATCTTCGAAGTCATTTATGTACCCAAATATCAAAATTTAAAATGGTGTTTACAATTAAAAATAGTCTAGTAACAGTAAAAAAAATATTATCATTCTGCTCAATGTCGGGTGAAATTTTAATGAGAAGCAGTATCTCCATACAGATTGCTGTTTGGGTGCAAGAAAAAATAATAACTACAAAGTGAAGAAATCAGACAACACCTTGACCAGAATTAGCATCATTAACGAGAAGCAGATGGACACCATGTGCTGTCAGATGTTGTATCTGAAGGACACAACAGCACTTAGGAAACATTCCAACCTGAATCTCATCATGAAGAGACATCAGAAACACCTCAGTGAGGAACCTGTTTTCCGTTGAGACAGAGGGAATGAGGGATGAACACAGGGAAGGGGTGAGGAAAGGGAGAGAAGGACAGAAAAGGATTGTATTCTTCGAAAATGTTACCCATTAGAGAGAAAGAAAGGGTCAGGAAATGACGTTAAAGACTGAGAGAGACCGCAAAGACGCAGCAGTGACATGCAACACCTGACCCGAGACTGAAGTTTAATCTGTGCCTTTGGAGGGAAACGCTTCGGAAAACGTTAAAAGGTGTGTATATAAATAATGTTATTTTCATATAAAAATTAGCCACAGAAACCTTTATTCACTCTATGTAGAAATATTATACACTCTAAGAAAGGGAGAAAATTAAGACTTGGAATTATTACAGCTAAGGAAACAGTAAAACAAAAAGAGATGAGACGACTGTACTGCACAATTAAAATTAAAATTGCACTACATTCAGAAAGTGACCAAGAAGATAGAACAAGACTGCATGGAGTAAACATAAGCAAATTCTTGTGTCATTAAGTTGGTGACAATGCAGAATATTATAAAAATATCATCAAGCAGATGGTGACATTCCTTAGGACATAGGTAGTTAGCTTAACGCATTTTTAAATGAATTAATAAACAGGTATACAGACACTCAAAATGTAGTGAATTTAACATGAATGCATGTACAGTGACTTAAGCTTTCAGAATTTTGTATTAAGGTAATTGGATGATTGATGGGTGAATGAGGAAGAGAGGAAGAATAAAATAAAAACAGCTAACTTTATCTATTCAGACACTTTGATATTCCATATGCAAACTCACTGAATCTTTACAATACCCTCATCAGAAAAGACACTATTAGATTCTCAATTTTAAAAACAACTAAACTTAGGCACGGAGAAGTTACTTGGTCACAGTCATTCACAAGTGAATGACACTGGGATTTGAGTGGGGTTATCAAGTCCACAGTCTTTATCAAATATCTGAAGTTGTGGCTTGGAGTTTAATAGTTTTCCAAATGGTTATTCTTTACAGCAGTGATTCTAAACTGGACATGGGAGGTTCTACTAAGCACATCTAGGGGGCAGAAACCAGGGGGTTGCTACTAAACATCCTACACTGCGCAGCACAGTCCTACAACAAATAATCACCTGGCGCAAGGTCACTAGTACCGTGGTTTAGAAACCTTGCTGTAGAACAGTGTATTTCTGCACTTGAAAATCCATTATGATGAAAGGAGAAGAAAATTACATTTCTTAATTTAGCCTGATAAGAAAATCATTACCAACATTATTCTCTAGACCTGCTTATTTCAAGCAAGGAAAAAGTTTTACTGCAAAGTCTAAAAGAAACACAGAAACAGGAAGTTACTATTACATGGGAAATTAAGCAGGAGATGTGGAAGAGAGCAAACTTTCCTGAAGCTCCAACAACTATGTAGTTGTAAGAAGAAAGTCTAAAACTGCTGACTTCCATGTCAACATTACCTTCCGTTAAATTATGTGAATATAAATCTTCCTAAGTTACATCATGGACCAATGACTCTACTGCAAACTTCTAGAGCAATTTAGATTTTTTTGCTTTTCAGATCATTACGTTTTCTGTACCTGTGAATGTTTCTTAATTAAGAACATTTTAAAATTAAATCGTTACTCTTTAAAATTGTCTATTACATTATTCAAGATTTTCTTGGTACCCATAAAATGACATGAATTCATTACTGCCCAGTAGATTTTTTAATACTTCATTTTAAGAAGAACATTAAGATCTGATGTTCCTATCACAAAGCTATCTCTCACAACTTTTAGATGCGAAATGTTAATGTTTAAGAGAATTTCTAGCCTTATTAAAGTCTGCCCCTCAATTTATATAGATTGACATAGCCCCAGTCCAAGTATGCCTTAGACTTGTAAAAGCCTTATATTTACCCTGTGGAAGCCAGCTATTTCCACAACTAACACATGTAAAATGTTTTTGAATTGTACACTTACATAAAATTAAATAATGAAGCAAACAGTATTCTCATAAAAAATATTTCTTAACCTATATCATTTTTAAGAAAAATATTTCTTAACCTATATCATATTTTGTGTACCCTCAATAATATTTACTTCATATTAGAGAAAACTCTAACATGCTTTTTAACCTTAATATTTTTCCATTCATTAATTTTTTTCAAGAAATGCTTACAGAATGTTGACTATTGCCAAAGACCAGGTTCTTTAGCATTTCATTTTTAAATGCCTGAGTAGTCCTCAAGTTTTTTTCACTAAGAAAAAGAAAAACAGCAGTAAGTTAAAATGTAGGTAGCTTGAATTTGGCTTCAAAAATAAGTAAGATGCCACTCAATTCTACAGTGAGGAAACAGGAAACTCTTCTGCAAGTCCACCTGAGAAGCAGCACCACCTGGTATTTCAAAGAACAATCCCTGGCCCTGGCCAGGTGGCTCAGTGAGTTGGAGCATCGCTTCAGACACTAAAAATGGTGTGGGTTCGATCCCAGATTGGGGTACATATGGGAGACAGTAAATCAATATTTCTCTTTCACATGATGTTTTTCTCTAACATCGATGTCTCTGTCTCAAGTCAATAAACATATCTTTGGATGAGGATTAAAAAAAAAGAAAGAGCCCTGGCTTCTAGCTGCTCTATGACATGCCACATGCCAGACCCCAGGCAAGTCACTTAACATTTTTAAGCTATTTATTTGCTCTATAAAAAGAAGATAATTATACCTATACCTCAGGACTGCTTTAAAATTAGATGATATTAAGTGCAAAGCACTTAGCAAAATATAAGTGCTCAATAATTATTAACTATTGTTATGTGTAAGCATAAAACAATTGCCTGTGTACTTAATCCAAATTACTATGATAAAAATAAATAATTTATTTTTCTAACGAATTTCTGAAGCTAACTAGATTTATTTTATCACTAGTATGCATGTGCTCTAAAAATTCCCTAAGACAAAATCCAATATATTAATTATCATTATTCTTCCCACAGGGTTAAGTCTTAAGGTCTATCTTTATACCTTTAAAATTAAAAGCAGCAAAAAGGGGGGCATATAATGCCAACTCCACAAAGCTAGGAATAAAAGCAAAGAAAACATATTCTTATTTAGATTTCAAAATCAAAGTGATCTGTATTTGCTTTACAGAAATGGAAATTTTAACCAAGTTTGTAAAGTATAATATAATGATTTCATCTATGTCAGAAAGAAAGAACTTGCAAGCTTCTTTACACATATCCCAAAATAATCAAATATTATGTAAGATACTTCTGAATTACCAAGAGAGTAATTCATAAAGCTCTATTGACATTGAAAACATTATATGTTTCATATATTGATATAAAAAGAGGACCTAAAATATGTCTAATAAAATCTGGTTATTATTAAAAAAAGGAAAATTCAGACAAGAATTTAAAAAATGGTAAAATGAACGTGACCATTAAACTGCAGTGCCTACCACTTCCATTCACATATTTTTAAATCTAAACTAGCACCTGCTGCATCATTAACTACTAACAAAATCAGCATAGATATACAGTAAGCAACACTGCCCAGAAACACACAGCAATACCAAATGGCCAAAACAGTGCACAATGCTAGTACTTTGACGCCTTAAAGAAACAAATTTTATGAAACTGTTTCCTCACCTATTATCAGATGGCAGAAGAGAAAGCAAAGCCAAAGCTGAAAGTTTTCTTCTTTCAGGCTGGGTAATGTTGTCCATGCGATCAACCCACATTTCAATCATATTTCCCAAGAGCTGGTCCATCTGAAAGAAAGAGCAAGAGGCATCTCAAATATTTGAAATAGTACGTCCTGTGGATAAGTACTATTACAGGCTAAAACCTTGTGCATGGCTGAAGGTCAATTCCAGCAAACCACAGAATTAGAATACAAAAATATAGGGCAAGCCTTCAGCCAGAAAGGAATAATTTAAGCAAACTAGAACTTGACTCTAAACAATCTTGAGATCAAAATAATTCTGAGAACTAAATAGATTTGTTCAACTGGGCAAGGCTAAGGTGTCCAGTTGTTTGTTCAAACACCAGTCTAGATGCTGCTGTAAAAGTATTCTGTTGTTCTGATTAACATTTACAATGAGTTGACTAAATTTAGGGGTGTCTAACCCATGGCCCACAGGCCGCATGCAGCCTAGGATGGCTATGAATGTGGCCCAACACAAAATTATAAATTTTACTTAAAATATTATGAGATTGTTTTGTTTTCATTAGTGTTTGTGTATGTACTGTGTGGCCCAAGACAACTCGTCTTCCAATGTTGTCCAGAGACGCCAAAAGGCCATACACCCTTGCATGTGTGTAGGGTTTCATTCAATCAATTGCAAGTCTTCAGCACAAAAATTGTTTCCCTGAAAAGAAGAAATCCTGCTTCAAGACTATCTACCAACAGATGAATGGATAAAGAAAATGTAGTACATATACACAATGGAATATTACTCAGACATAAAAAAAAAAGAATAAAATTTTGTCATTTGTGACAATATGGATGGGACCCCAGGGTGTCCAACCCACGGCCCATGAGCCACATGGGGCCCAGGATGGCTATGAACGTGGCCCAGCACAAAATCACAAATTTACTTGAAACCTTTTTTTTTTTTTGCACATCAGTTTTTGTTAATGTTTATGTATTTAGTGTGTGGCCCAGAGATGCCAAAAGGTTGGACACACCCAGCAGAGTATTATTAAGTGAAAAGTTGGACTGAGAAAAACAAATACCATATGATTTTGCTTATTTGTGGAATCTAAAGAACAAAATAAATGACCAAAATGAAATAAACAAACTCATAGATACAAAATGATGGTTGCAAAGAGGAGGAGTTTGGGGGCTTAGGCAGAAAAGGTAAGGGGATTGAGAAGTACAAACTTCCAGTTAATAGATCAAAGGAATATAATGTAAAGTAGAGGGAATAAAGTCAATAATATAGTAATAACTATGCAGTGACAGATGGTTATCAGACTTATTGCAGTGATCACTTTGTGAGGTATATACATGATAAATCACTATGTTGTATGGTTAAAACTAATACGTGAACTATAATAAAAATAAGTTTTTTCAAAAAGACTATGACATGAAAATCCTGAGTTTCAGCTTGCCCTAAAAAATTAAAACCTTCCAGTCCCTACAATCATATGAGCCAATTCCTTAAAATCTCTACAGTGCATGTACATATATACACAAACATGCATTTCTCCTCTCTCTCTCCACACACACTTCTATTTTTCTGGAGAACTCTGACTGACACAGTTACAATCTATAAAGTAAGGTACAACCAAATGTAGTGATCTCATAGACTGAAAGTGAGTCAGTGAACCTCAGGATTTACTAGACACTTCTAACACCCTTTAAAAAATGCATTTAGACTTCCAACCAAGATGGAGGCACAGGTAGACACACTGTGCCTCTTCACACAACCAAAATAAGAACAATAATTTAAAAACAAAAAAACAAGAACTGACAGAAAATTGAACTTTATGGTAGTCTGACAACCAAGGAGTTAAAGCAGACATTCATCCAGACCGGTAGGAGGGGTCGAGTTGGGCAGCTGGGCGGAGAGGGCTGGGGGGCAGGGTGGCAGTTGGCGGACCTGGGCATACAAGGTGGCAGCTGGCAGATCCATCGAGATGGCAGATTGTAGGGGGGACACAGTGTGCCCTGTCCCACATTCATGCCCAGACAAACTAGGCGAAACTGGGGATTGAGACAGACCATGCAACCCAGTGTCCCAGTGTGGGGAAATAAAGCCTCAAAATACCTCTTGAAAACACCTGTGGGGGCTGAGGTGCCAGGAGAGACTCCTAGCCTCAAGGAGTTTGTTGGAGAGACCCACAGGGTCCCAAAACATACACAAACCAACCCACCCACCTATCCGGGAATCAGCGCCAGGAGGGCCCAATTTGCTTGTTGGAAGCGGGAGCAGTGACTGAAATCGGCAGAGAGTGGAGCAAGTGCCATTGTTCCCTCTCGAGCCCTGCCCATATACAGTGTCACAACCCAGCAACTAGGTTGCTCCGCCCCTTACTACATAACAGGAACAAGACAAAAAAAAAAAATGACCTAAACAAAAGAACACATCAAAGCTCCACAGCAAATACAATTAAATGATGAAGAGATAGCCAACCTATCAGATGCACAGTTCGAAACTCTGGTGATCAGGATACTCTGAGAATTGGTTGAATTTGGTCTGAAATTACATGAAAAAGTGAAGGCTACGTTAAGTGAAATAAAGGAAAATGTACAGGGAACCAATAGTGATGGGAAGGAAAATGGGACTCAGATCAATGGAGTGGACCAAAAGGAAGGAAGAAACATCCAACCAGAAAAGAATGAAGAAACAAGAATTCAAAAAACTGAAGAGAGGCTTAGGAACCTCCGGGACATTTTTAAACGTTCCAACATCCAAATTATAGGGGTACCAGAAGGGAAAGAGGAACAGCAACAAGTAGAAAACTTATCTGAACAAATAATAAAGGAGAACTTCCCCATTCAAGCTAAAGAAATAGACTTCTGGGAAGTCCAGGAAGCTCAGAGAGTCCCAAAGAAGCTGGACTCTAGGAGGAACACACCAAGGCACATTATAATTACATTACCCAAGATCAAAATAAATGAGAGAATCCTAGAAGCAGCAAGAGAGAAGGGGACAGTCACCTACAAAGGAGTTCCCATCAGATTATCAGCTAATTTCTCAAAAGATACCTTGCAGGCAAGAAGGGGCTGGAAAGAAGTATTTCAAGTCATGAAAGGCAAGGACCTACATCCAAGATTGATCTATCCAGCAAATCTTTCATTTAGAATGGAAGGGAGATAAAGTGCTTCTCAGATAAGGTCAAGGTAAAAGAGTTTAGCATCACCAAGACCTTATTGTATGAAATGTTAAAGGTACTTATCTAAGAAAAAGAAAATTAAAAACATGTACAGTAAAATGACAGCAAACTCACAATTATTAACAACCACACCTAAAACAAAAACAAACAAAACAAATTAAGAAGAACAGGAACAGAACCAAAGAAATGGAGATCAAGTGGAGGGTTATCAACAGGGGAGTGGGAGGAGCAGAGAGGGGGGAAAGGTAGAGAGTAAATAGCATACATGGTAGGTAGAAAATAGGGGGAGGGTAAGAATAGTTTGAGAAAAGTAGAAGCTAAAAAACTTATAAGTATGACACATGGGCATGAACTAAGGGGAGGGAATGTGGGTGGGAGGGGGGCAGGGTAGAGGGGAGTAAAGGGGAAAAATGGGACAACTGTAATAGCATAATCAATAAAATACATTTAAAAAAATAAATAGTCAAATGTGACTTAAAGGTGAAGGAAAAATAGTCCTTGGTTGATGTGTTAAAAAACACATTTAATGTCAAATATCTCTTTACCTTAAGGATTTGATAATATAAAATCAATGCAAAGTTCTCATACTTGTCTATGTTTGTGCTTCTTCATTTTTTCCCAAGAAATGCTTCCACGCATATTTAAAATAATAAAATGTCAAGAAAACAGTTATTAGTTCAAGAAAATTATTTATACTTGGGTCCCTTAGATTGTGTACTATGTCATAAGATGCCACAGTAAACTCACAGACTATTTAAAATTGATATAAATACAGATAGATCTATCAGATACTACCAGAATTACCAGCTCAAGATAGTTCCTAGTTTTAACATTATATTCCTTGCATATAGACAACTGAAGCTATAGTGATGTATCTGGTTGAAATAAAGACACAATCAGTAAAGAAAAATATCTCTATTGTCTAATTTTATTCATAACTTACATTTATTTCCTTTATTAAAAATACTTAATAGCATTTAACAAGAGTGAGTTTTCAAAGTTGATCTCCAGTGCTGAAACTGGAAATATAAAGACCTCTTCATCATTATTAAACAAGCAATTAGAATACAAGGCAGAAACAATCTTTTTCTGCAAAGAACCAGACAGTAAATATTTAAGGCTTTATGGGCTATAAGGTCTCAGTTGCAACTATTCAACACCCTAAATTGGTCAGAAACAATTTGTAAACAAATGGGCATGAATTTATTTCAATATGAAATTTCACTTAATGCCCTGGCTGGTGTGGCTCAGTGGATTGAGCGCCGGCCTGCAAACTGAAGGCTTGCCGGTTCAATTCCCAGTCAGAGGCACATGCCTGGGTTGTGGGACAGGTCCCCAGTCCCCACAAGGGATACGTGAGAAGCAACCACACACTGATGTTTCTCTTCCTCTCTTTCTCCCTCCCTTCCCTTTCCTCTATAAATAAATTAATAAAATCTTTAAAAACTAAATAGATATATAAGCAGGGCCAGAGCTAGGGTAGAGCAAACATCCTTGATGATAAATGCACAGTTCTCAGTATTACAGAAACATTTAAAAGAGATCTGGGAGGATTGGGGCTAAATTATCTAGGCATTTATTTTTTATAATAGAATCAAAAAAATTAAAAATCAACTGTAGGGAAGTAAGAGGCAAGGAGGAAGTGTTCTAGGTAGAGGGAAGAGCCTGTATATCAGGACTCTGAAGCAAGAGGGAGAAAAGGTGTTTCCAAGAAACTGAAAAATGTTCTGGCCCTGGCTGGTGTGGCTCAGTTTGCTGAGAGTCATCCTGAAAAGTGAACGGTCAGTTGCTGGTTTGATTCCTGGTCACAGCATATGAATAAATGGCAGGACTGGTCCCTGGATGGGGCATGTACAAGGGGCAACTGATCCATGTCTCTTTCCCACATCGATGTTTCTCTCCCTCTTTCTCTCCCCTCCTCTAAAAA